CTGGCCCCGTCGCGGGGTCTGCGCTTGGCAGACGGCCCAGGAACTGGAGGCGGCGGTGCACTGAACTTCTGGAAGTATCCAGTAAGGAGCGAAACCATCTTGTCAGCCACAGAATTCGCCATCTCACGGGCCCAATCGGACAAGTGGCAGCAATCGTCACGTTCTCCGTTGCAAGTACGTTTGGGCCACTCATGTCGACTCAGGCGTGTAGAACTGCATTCTATGTCGTACTGCTTCAGGACCTGCTTAGCACCATAACTGACAGCAACGGAGCGATGCCGACCAGAACGACAGATGGCAGCAATGCGCACAGACTGCGAAGACGCGTTCGTCGCCAACGATCTTCCCACATACTCAGCGATACCCACCTAATATTCATTCCCAGCTGAATTGCGCAAGATTTCCGGGTGATGACCGATATGGCGTGCGTGAGTCGGGTCGCTCAGCGCCCTTGTGCCCACCAACGCATACCGATCATAGTTCGACAGATTCTCATCTGCAGCAGCGAGCGCATCTATGATGGCATTGCCGTCGCGTCCCCTGGTAGTCATTTCATGACTGGAGCACTCGTGACTGCGGGCGCACTCCGTCAGCATCGTCGACCCCGAGCACCTCGGGTTGTTCTCGAAGTTCTCCAAGCCCAGCGTGATCACAGCAAACTTCGAGCCCTGCGGTGTGGAACGAGCCCCAGCAACAGCAGCCGCGGCAGCGACCCGCAAGTCCTCGCCGTCACTGGAGTGATCAACGGGCGCAGGCACACACGTGATCCCGTCTTCACTGGAGGGTCTGACGACAGCAGGCGGCGCGGCGTCAGCAGGCGGCGCAGCGCGGCCGGTGGAAGCCGCGCAGCACGGCTGGACACAAGCTGATTGATAGGAAATGTGCAACGGACGAATGGGCTCCACAACGTGCTCTGGGTCAAAATGATCAAGACGAATGATAAGAAGACCTGCGCGAGCACAACGACACAATTCTACCTCACCTTCCTAACTCCAGAGAGCGCGACCATTAGCAAGATCCTTCACGAGACCGAGGGAGCCTGTGCCGGAAGATACAAACAAAAAGCATGACCCGAATTTCTCAACATAGGCGGCTCGAGACACGCACTCACGGCGCCACAAGAAACAACGGTGCGAAACAGAAAACTCGTCTTACTTGTCGTCTGACTCCCTGCCTGTCCTCATATACCGCTGTACGTCTCACGCTGTCTGTGAACACGCTTAGAACATAAACCCAACTTCTCGTATCTATCTTGCGTTGAGAGCCCAATCTTCACCGTGACAACAGGAGCCCAGGCGACATCAACCGCGCGAAGCTGAGATAGAGCCGAAACTTCGGTCGAAGCGTTCGGCGTGGGAGCCGCGCGACCGACGAGACTGTGATCTGCGACCTCAGCGACGCAATCGTGGAGCAAAGCAATTCGCTCACCTGTGCTAGCGTCGCCCGTATCAGCACAAATATCAACGATACGTTTAGTGGCAGCCTCTAATACAATCTCTAGCTTTATAGAGGTCATACGTCGATCATCCTCAATCATATCCTCAATTGCTTGCGCTTGGATGTTGCCGGAGCGTTCAACTTCCCTTGCTGTTGCCTTCTTGTCTTCTGCTAGTTTCCTGGGATGCTCGTCGAAATATGCCATGCAACGACGACAATGCGCGCGAACAACATCTGGAGCACTGCCGCGCCTGTCCACGAGATCCACGAGAGCGGGCGCAGCGCCGTGCACCTCTTGGTCTTGCGCCCGCAATCCTTGCAGGTGCGAGCAAGGATACAAGCGCTAGAACGGACTCCCGAGAGATCCACGCAAACCTCGAACGCATGGACGAGGAAATGGGGGGCTTGGAGGCTTCCTGTTAAGGCCAGAAGAAAAACTCGAATAAGGCAAAACCTTGTCACTGGAAGCTCTCGGCCCCGGAGCTTTCACAAACTGCCCGTCTCCCTTCCGGGTGAAGTTGCGATCGGCCCGCCCCAAAAACAGAACCAGGTCCTCACTTGGTTTCTCCACCTTGCGACCCCAACCCACGCGATCTGGAGCATCCCTGAGAACGCGACCATGACTCAGCCCTTCGCGCTGACCCGAAGCAGATGCAGCATCCTGACCAGGAACAGATATAAGATCCGAAACAGATCCCCCCCCCCCCTCAAAGTCCCCACCAGAAACGCTAGCCATATACTAAAGTTCGGCCCAGCGAACAGCCACGATCTCAAGAGCATCTCCCTCAGCCTCTGCAGAGGTCTGAAGACTTTTCTCCCGGGGCCCTTGAGGTCCCTGAACCGGGGCGGCTTCAATCAATCCAGCGCAACTCACACAGACATGACTCTCAACGCGGTCGCGCTGCAAGCTACACTGCCCGTCGCAATTCCCCCCTCATGCACGCGCGCATTGTGGCGCACGACGCAAGAAGAGGAACAATAACAGAAACGAGAAATACTAGGATCCATCCTCATCGACTCCTTGCTCCAAGTGATACGATAAAGGATTGATGCTGACGCAGCAACAGCACTGACGGATGCGAACTCCCATTCGTCATCGTACAGGCGCAACTGGACATGGCGCTCGCCAGTGTATCCAATGTGTGCGACCATTGCCGCCCTGGGCTTGCCCTTGCATTCAGGGCCCCCGGACTAGTGGCCCGATCCGTGGCAGGTCTTGCATGTCGAGCGCTTCTGGATCACCATGAGCCGCTTCTTGCGATCTTCCAGGGAAGGCCCCCCCTTTCCGCCCCCCTTGGCCTCCGCGCTTTCCTGTGCGCTTGCTCCTCCCGTTGGTGCAAGGTTGGCGACCAGGTCCTTTTTGGTCGCGTCAGAAGCTTCTTCCTCCGCGTATCCGGCCATGGCAATCTCGTCGACCACCTCGACGTCGAGTTCGCTGCTATCCTGGACAGGAGCCCAGTGAGCATGCGATTCCTCGTCGACGTGGGCGCGTGCGTTGGCGTAGTCGTCCCAGGCCGTGTCGTCCCAGCCGTGCTCTGGCGCATAGCCGGACGCGCAGTGCCCGTAGGGACTCGGCTCCTCAGGGTAATGCTCCTCCTGCTCGTACCATCCATCATCAGCAGTGTAGAAGGCGTGTAGTGGAGTGGAGAAGCGCACTTTGCCCTTGCCCTTGCTCCTGTTCTTGTAGCTGGGTCTCGGTTGCGACCACGTCAAAGAGCTGGAGCCTTTTCCCAGACTCACCCTTGCCTTTTGTGGCAGATGTGTATGCAGCCGTGCTGGAGGATCACAACGTCCACGATATTGTCGAAGGTTGTCAAATTTCCAGTGGGTGTCAACACCATCAGTTTCTCCGAAGGCGAGAGGCCTGCACGGTCCAAGAGAAGGGAGCCAATCATATCGTCGCGCATCAATATCTTAGGACCTAGCTTGGAGACAAGTTTCCACCAGCGCTTCCTTAGGGAGATGCACGAGGCCATAGACTCACCGTGCTGCCGAGACAGTGGTCCATAGTGTCTCTGCCCCACCTGGAACAGGATCTTCGCTGCCTGCGCCTCTATGGGGAAGAGTGAAGTACGAATCGCCAGCACCAACTGATCGATCCCATTCGGAATAAGAAGCACGTCCTCACCGGTATCCATGGCAATATCGAATGCGTTACCTTTGGGGCTTTTTTTTTACAAACTTGTTGACAGCTGCGGTGATCACGTGTTGCTGTGGTGCACCCGTCTCTTGACTCACTGGGGCCAAAGCGGCACTCATGCGCACCTCTGTGCCGAATTCCCACTCGTCAAAATTGTTCACCGTGCCGTCATGAATGTAGGAACCACTCTTCGTCTCGGACCGCGTCAGCGCGTCGGCGCTCGGCCGATAGCGAAAAGAAGACAGTGCCATGGCGCAGGGTTCAGTGTCCTAGCGAGGGACACTGCCAGTACAGAACGTAAAGGGAGGTAGCGCGACACTCTCTGACGAGACGTGCGAACAGTGGTACGGTACGGGGATCGCGTGGTAGCTCCCAGTGTGATTATGATGCGTTTTGGCGCAATGGCAAAAAGGGTCCCCTTAAGGGTCAAACGGCAGCGAGTGGCGCATATACACACACACGTTACACATGCACTAACTCGCAGTAGTGTTTCGTCCTGGATCCATGTTTGATGGTTCCCTGGCTCTGTAACAGGCGCCAGCAGCCCAATCCGAGGAAACCTCGCCCAAGTTGAAACAAATCTCGTCGGAGATCTTGGCCGATTGGGAGAAAAACGTCGCCAAGCCTTTGCGCTGGGAACGGCGAAGACACCCCCCAATGGGACCACCAAAGCACCACCGCAGCCGTGAGGAGATGAAGGGGGAAGGGGAGCGGGCAAACGAGGAGCAGCGAGAGGAAGACGGCCCGTGCCCTGTAAATACAGTCGTCGCTGCACTGACCACTGACTACCAACAGTTGCAAGTGTATTGCAACCCAGTTGCAAAGCACGTGTAAGTGGACTGGAGGGCCGCCTGACTGCTCCATGCGGGGTCTGCTACGTACTCAGACTTGGCCAGTCAGGCGGGCTTGCGACCAACGTGCAGGCGTCATGCAAGTGGGTTGCAACCGCCTTGCATGTGTTGCAAATGTTGCAGGTCGAACCCACATGGGGGGCTATGTGTGCGTGTTGTCCGATGGGGGACCCCGCTGGAACGGGAGCGTCCCTTGGGGTCCGACAGCCTGCACCCATATCCATAGACAGTCAACCTCCAAACGACGCCCGCCCATGGGCCAGGGTGTGTGAGCGTGCGTGCGCGAGAGAGAGAGAGTGTGTGTGTGTGTATGTGTGTGTGTGAGTGTGTGTGTGTGTGTGCGTGTGCGTGTGCGTGTGCGTGTGCGTGTGCGTGTGCGTGTGCGTGTGCGTGTGCGTGTGCATGTGTGCGTGTGCGTGTGAGTGTGTGTGTGTGTGCGTGTGTGTATGTGTGTGTGTGTTTGTGTGTGGTGTTCGTTCGTCATAACCACCATCATGCATTGCAACAGGCCCGTACGCAGCGAGCAACAACAAGGACCACACACACACAAGGGGGGGGGGGGGGGGCGGGGCCCTGCTGCAGCAGCGCCACGGCGCACAGCGCCCCCAGCGGCTCGGAGAGCCCCGAGGCCAGGCTCACCTGACGCATCCCCCCCCTCCCAAGGGCGCCCTGGCGCTGAGGAGGGGGGAGGGAGGGAGGCAAGAGAGGAGGAGGAGGAGGAGGAGGAGGAGGAGGAGGAGGAGGAGGAGGAGGAGGAGGAGGAGGAGGAGGAGGAGGAGGGGGAGGAGGAGGAGGAGGGAGGAGGCGGAGGAGGACGAGAAGGAAAAGGGCGGAGGAGGAGACGTGCTCACCCTTCTCCTGCTCAGCCCTCCTCCTCCTCCTCCTCCTCCTAATCTTCCACCTCCTCCTCCTCCTCCTCCTCCTCCTTCTCCTCCTCCTACTCCTCCTTCTTCCCCTCCTCCCTCCCCCCTTCCTCCCCGTCTCTCTCCTCCTCCTTTCGCTCCACTGAGATCCTGGCGCCGCAAGTTTTTCGAGTCGTGCGCTTTTTGATCCAGATCTGGGCCTGGAGGCCCTCACGTATAGGTCCGGCGCGAAACATGCAGCCGAAAGATGAGTCCAGGGTTCCGGTTGTGAATTGACACGCTGTTGTATTTTTCGTCGCGTCGTCGGATCTCTGGGTCCTCTTCAAGAGCGAAAGCTGGAGACGACTCGGCAACGGTCTCAAACCCCCCAAAAATAGGGTTTCGCCGTGTTCATCTTGTTCCAATGAGCTGAGGCCATTGGCGCTTGAGGTCAATCTTTCTTCTTCGTCTTCTTCTTCTTCTTCTTGTTCTTCTCCTCCTCCTCCTCCTGTCTCCCTCCCTCCTCCTCCTCCTCCTCCTCCTCCTCCTCCTCCTCCTCCTGGCTGGCAATGTGTCCGCCCGACGCCACCAGCCTGTCCACGAAGGCGGCCGCGGCGGACGACAGCGCAGGCGGAAAGGCGTTGCTCGGCCCCTTGCCTCTTCACCACACCTTCTCCTCCTCCTCCCCCTCCTCCCCCTCCTCCATCTCCTCCTCCTCCTCCTCCTCCTCCTCCTCCTCCTCCTCCTCCTCCTTCTGGCCACCGAGTGTCCGCCCGACCCTTACCCTCTGGCCCACGAAGCTGGCCGCGGAGGACGACGTAGAGGCCGCCGCGTGGCCCGTCCACTGGGCCCCCTCCTCCGCCTCCCCTTCCAACCTGCTGGGTGGGCCCTCTGCATTTCTCTGTGCGCTTCAGCTTTGGCTTCGGCTTCAGCCGCGGGTGCACCGCGGAGCCCGTTGGGGCAAGCTCGCCCTGTTGGCGTTCCGCTCGCATGGTTGCCTCCATCCCAATCTCCCCGATCCTCGTCGTCGTCGTCGGCCTCCTCCTCCTCCTCCTTGTCCTCCTCCTCCTCTCGTCATCAGCATCATCATCATCGTCATCATCCTTATTATCTGCATCCTCACTTCCTCCTCCTCACTTCCCCTCTGTATATTAAGTGACACTTGAATTGAGCAGCGAAGATAATCTCCGAGCACGGGTCCAGCTGCCAGGGAGCCATCAAGAAGGTGGGTTGCCCCCTCCCCGTTCCTCCGCTCGTCCCCCTCCCCCTCCTCCTCCTCCACCCGCCAGGCAGAAAAGCGCGGGCGAGCCACGATCAGCCGTGCTGGGAGCCGTCCGTGCCAGGCGAGAACGTGCGGGCCAACGTCATCAGCTACAGAGTTGAGACCAGTTCGTGCGAGAGACGCCACACAAAAAGCGGGCAACGGCAGGAAGCCTCAACGCGAGAAGCGGGAAGCGAAGCTGGAGTCCGCCACACCAGCCCCTCCCTCGGCGAGCAGCGGCAGCAGGCGATGCCGCGGCACCAAGCGAGAGGGAAGACGAAGGTCGAGCCCAATCTCATCAGCTACGAGGCCTGACAGGCGAAGGTTGAGCCCGACGCGGAGCCCGACCCAAACACCGACGCCGAAGCGGAAGGCGAAGGTAGAGCCCGACGCGTTCAGCTACAATGCTGGGATCGAGGGCAGTGTGCGAAAGTGGGAAGGCGAAGCTGGAGCCCGACGCCATCCGCCTGGAGCCACTGTGCGAGCAGCGTGCGAAAAGCGGGAGGCAACGCGGGACCATGAGCGACGCAGGAAGAAGGCGAAGGACGAGCCCGACGCCATCAGCTACACTCGACGCGACGAGAGCCCGACGTGCGAAGGCTGTAGAAAGTCGAGCCCGATGCCATCAGCTGCATCTGGCGAGAGTTGGAAAGCTGGAGGTGAAGATGGCGCCCAACGTCCTACTCATACTGCGAGCAGCGGGAGGCGAAGTTGGAGCCCGATGTCCTGGGCATGGCGCTCGAAGGTCGAGCCCAATGCCATCAGCTAGCCGACGAGTTGTAAAATGCTGTAGGCGGAGTCGGATCCCAACTTACTACCCCATACTCTGCGAGAAGTGCGAGAAGCGGGTGGCGAAGCTGGAGGCCGATTCTAGCCAGACGTGCCGGCCGACCCTCCATACGATGGAGGAAGGCGAAGTTGGAGCCCAATGTCACTAGCTACTACGCTGGGGATCGAAGGAGCGACAATCAGGCTCGGCGGCGCCATGGCCAAACCACAACCTCCCGCTGGACGGAGCATCAGCTACAGTGCTGGAATCAGCCCGGCGTGAGGTTCAGATGCGTGGCGCCCCCAAGGCCGACTTGTGAGGGGTGGCCTCTCTTTCGTCGCCGCGGTGCGTGCCTCGCAACTGCGGTGATCAGGCCTGCCAGATCCAGATCCTCCTCCTCCTCCTCCTCCTCCTCCTCCTCCTCTTCCTCCTCCTCCACCCTCTCTGACCTCCCTCCCACTGTTCCCTACCTAGGCTCTGCCTAGAAGGGTTCTTACTCTCTATGCTTAAAGGGGCCGGGCAATGGAAACCGGCCCGGGCGGTTCCCCCCGTATCCGCCACGCGGTTCCCCCAGTTACGTCCCCTTAGCTTAGCGTTGCTTATCTCATCTTAGCTTAGCTTATTTAATATTAGCTTAGCTTAGCTTCATACTAGCTCAGGCTTATCTTAGCTTAGCTTACCTTCATCTTAGCTTCGGTGAGCTTTAGAATAGCAGAGCACAGCATCGCATAGCATAGCGTAGCATAGCATAGCGCAGCACAGCATATCATAGCCCAGTATAGCATAACATAGCGCAGCATAGCATAGCATACATAGCATAGCGCAGCACAGCACAGCTCAGCATAGCACAGCGCATCATAGCATAGCATAGCATAGCAGAGCATAGCACAGCGCAACATGACATATCATAGCTTAGCATAGCATATCCTAGTATAGCGCAGCATAGCATAGTATAGCATAGCATAGCGCAGCATAGCATGGCATAGCATAGCATGGCATAGCAACTAATGCTGCCTTCCTAGGGGCTCCAACTTCTAGGTAGGGTCGCACTGGGGTAATGTTTAGATTAAGGAAGTGGCGAGGTGTTCGGCGGCTTGGGTGGTTCCCGAATGCTCCGCTAGGTGAGGAGCGATGCTGCGAAGTAAAAACGTTCAGGAGATGGTTCACCGTGGGGTGAGCTTTCTCCAACAAATATGCGTTCGGGTACGTAGCTCGTGACCAAGATTAAGACACCAGGCAGTGCACCAGGTTTCATTGTAGCTAATGTGGTCAACATCTGAAGCGTGAAATGGTCCAAGTTTTTGGATTGCCCCTGGGCCTTCCTGGCCTTTTTTTCAGTGAGGGCGAACCAAGTCCCAACGGAAGGTTCCGTATGACTATCGTCGTCGTAGCAGTCTTCTCGGTATCAGAGTGAGGGGCCAAACGGTCTTACACCATCCCTGAATGCGTACCTGAAGTGGGTTTCTACGGTGAGGGTTCTTATTGTTGATTGATGTGATTTGTTGTTTCTTGTTGTCGTCGTCGTCCACGCCCGCGACCCGCCCGCGACCCACCCACGACCCACCTGCGACCCACCCGCGACCCGCCCGCGACCCACCCGCGACCAAGCGCCTGCGGTGGGCTTCTGCAGAAAATCTCATACTGGTGACGACCACGCCGCCCCCCTCTCTATCCGCGCAACTGCGGGGGCTGTTACTCTTCTTCCCCCTCATCCCTCATTATCCTTCTCCTACTCCTCTCAATATCGTCGTCGTCGCTGCTCCTCCTCCTCCTCCTCCTCCTCCTCCTCCTCCTCCTCCTCCTCCTCCTCCTCCCTACTCCTCCTCCCTACTCCTGCCTCCTGGTCCCGATTATCTTTCCCGGCGTGCGCCCGCTCCCGCGCATGTGGGAGCGTGCGAAAGGTGTGGGGGGGGGGGAGCAGGAGGGAGATGGGGGAAGAGACCCCCTCACCCCTGACATCCTCCGCCCCCGCCCCCCCCTCTCTACCCTCGGGCGCGACCTAACCGACCCCCTCGCATACCCTCCCCTTCTGTGACGTCATCCTCGCCTTTCGAGTTCCCCTCCGGACGCATGCGCACGTCTTGGGGCGAGGCGAGGGGAACGTCACGGAGGGGGATGGCTTGCTAGGGGTCGGTTGGGCCGCCCCTGATACCCGTCCCGCTCCCCCACCCTCCCCCCCCGACCACCCGTACCCATCGGTCGGAAGAAGTAGGTAGAAACATGAAGTAGGAAGGCGTTGGAGATAGATTGGGCTTCCGCCCGCCTCCTGAAGAGGAGGGAAGAAGGAAACGCAATCGACTCCTGAAGTAGGAAGGCGCTGAAAATAGATTGGAACCCGGGAATCCAAAAAATCCTACTTTCAACGACCGATGGGTACCCTAAGCAGCATGGACCCTCCGAGAAAGAGGCCCTTTCCACGGGACGCTCCATGCAGCTCTTCACCCTGGGTCGTTCCTGCACATGCCCCGAGGCCGGGGGCCCGTCGGTCGGCAGCAGTGGGTAGAGACGTGAAGCAGGAAGGCGTCGGAAGCAGATTGGATTTCCGCCCGCACCCTGAAGACGAAGCAAGAGGCAAGCCTGCTCGATCCTCGAAATTGGGCGGCGCCATAAAGTACATTGGGATCTGGGAATTCAAGAAACACACGATCCCAGGTCGAGGGTTCACAGGCCGCCGCCCCCAGATGGGATGGGTCCCAGGAGTCCAGAGGCCCCACCCCCAGATCGGATGGGTGGGACGACGACGACGAAAACGAGAAAGACCACGACGACGGAAGACCACAATGGCGACGGAAGTTGACGACGACGACGATGACGACGACGACAACGACGGAAGACGACGACGAGGAAAACGAAAACGACCATGACGACTGAAGACAACGACAACGACGACGGAAGTTGACGACGACGACGACGACGACGGAACTTGACGACGACGACGAAGGAAGACGACGACGACGAACCACTCCACACTTACTCACAGGGGCAGGAGGGGGCACCGGCACCCACCGCCGACACCCACCACCACCACCCAACAAGGCCACGACCACAGGCGGCGGGTCGGGGCGAACTCCTTCGCGAGGCCTTCGCGAGGCTCACGGGCGTACCCGTCCAGCGGGGGTGGGGGGATTCCATTCGGATTGCGGGGGGGGGGGGGGGCGGATCCCTGGGGCACACATACTTTGAGAGCTACACCGATGGGCACGCGCCCCTAAAAGCCGCACGTGGCCCAGCACCGCCAGCCAGCGTGTTCTCCTCCCCCGTGCCCCTGCTCGGCGACGGAGGAGGAGGAGGAGGAGGAGGAGGAGGAGGAGGAGGAGGAGGAGGAGGAGGAGGAGGAGGAGGAGGAGGATGGAGGAGGAGGAGGAGGAGGAGGAGGAGGAGGAGGAGGAGGAGGAGGGAGGAGGAGGAGGAGGAGGAGGAGGAGGAGGGAGGAGGAGGAGGAGGAGGAGGAGTAGGAGGGGAGGGAGGAGGAGGAGGGAGGAGGAGGAGGAGGCGGAGGAGGAGGAGGAGGAGGAGGGAGGACGCGCTCAAGGGGAGAGGCAGAGGGGGGCGGCCGCCTCCCCGGAAGGCTCTAGAAGGCCTCCGGCCTTCGGAGAAGCTCCCTAAAGGGAGGTCGCGGAGGGCCTCGCAGAAGGCCAGCGGGCTTCGGAGGGGCCCCGCGCCTCCTCCTCCTCCTCCTCCTCCTCCTCCTCCTCTGCCTGCTGTGCAGGCCTGCCCCCTCGGTGGCAACTCACGGGAGCCTCCCGTGCCATCCTGTCGGCTCTTGCGCATCGGCGCCAGGCCGACGCGAGTCGACGCCAACCGCCGCCAGCCGACGCCAAGTCGACTCTATATATGATCGACGCGACATCGGCGCCACCGCATCGCTTACCAAACGGGGGCTCGCTCCAGCGCGCCCGAAAGCCAGAATTGCGAGGGCGTGCAAGGATCTCGTGACTTGCTGCCGAACCTGCCCCCCTCAAAACCTGCGGGCGGATCCCGGGAGGTGCGGCAGGCGGTGCGGATGGAGAAGGGAGGCGACGGCCGACGACGACAACGACGCCGATGCCGCCGACGAGGACGGACGGACGCCCTCTCGCCTCTCGGCTCGGCGCGAACCCGTCGACCTGCCCCCCTCCCCCCGCCCTCCCGCTGCAGCAGGCCCGTCTGCCGCGCCCACAGAGAGAGGCGCCTCCTCCTGCCCGACGCCCCCCCCTCCCCCCGGGCGCGCCAGCACCGCACGGGCACGGGAGCCAGTGGCGTCGTAGGTGGAGACTGCGATCGCGATGCCCTGGGGCATGGCGGGGGGATTGGGCGGAAACTCCTGGGAGTCCTTCGTCGGAGCGATTCTCGACGAGCGCGTTCCACTGCTCGCAAAGTAACTGCTCGCAAATGGCCTGGATCCCCCGCCGGGGATCTACGATCAAGTACATCAAAGCAGACAGGCGTTTTTTCTGACGTTTGCAAGTCGGCACCTTGCGAGTAGTGGAACGCGCTCGGCGAGATTCGGGGCTGTTGAGCTCGGGATCATGACGTCAGACCAAACTGGGCCGGGGATCATGCCGGACCAACCGGGATGAGGCCGGGGTAAGCAGGATTCAGCAGAAGTGATCAGCGGGATCGAACCAGAGATTCGGCCAGTTTTCGACCAGGGATGTGCGAGCGCAGATTCAGCACGTCCTCCCAGGGGATGCATCCCTGGGGGGGGGAGAGGGGGGAGGCCCCTGTCCGCGGAGGCTCTGCGGGGGGGCCTGCCCACCACGCTGCTCCACCCCGCACACGAAGGTGCCCTCAACTGATGAATGATGGGCCCGTTTTCCACCACCACCACCACAAGTTGGCGGGGAGAAGGAGGTGGAGGACGAGGAGGAGGAGGACGAAGAGGAGGAGGAGGAGGAGGAGGAGGAGGAGGAGGAGGAGGAGGAGGATCCCCTCTCCCTCCAACCTATGGTGGTGGTGGTGGTTGAAAACAAGCCCATAAAGGAAAACTACTGCTACGGTCAAGAACTTTTGGCTTGGCGTGCCGCGGCGGCGCCCCCGGCGACTCGACATGCCGTGCTCGAGGATGGCGTGTCGCTCCGCTCCGCGGGGCGGGAAGCTGGGAACAGGTTGGGACGTTCCTGCTGGAGGACTGGGACGTGGCTTCCGTGCCGCACCGAATCGTAATGGGCCAGAACCTGCGGCGCGACGCGCTACGCCAACGTTCTGGCCCGTGTTTCCGGGTCTTTGCACGCGCGTGGAGCTCCAAGCTCATCGGCTTGCCGCAGCGGCGGTCCGCAACCTCGGGCCGCAAGAAGAATGCAGGAGAACAACGGATGAGGAGGAGGAGGAGGAGGAGGACGAGGTGGAGGGGGAGGAGGGATACTCCCGACGTCGCGAACCGGAAAAACCCTTCACAATTCTGCTCCGACGGATCCCGGCCCGTGAACGCGAGGCGGGTACCCAAGGAGCCTGGCGCCATGTAGTCGTCATTCGTCGAAGGCGCGAGGCGGGATACCCAGGGAGTGCCCGGATCCCTTGAGGCCTGGCAGCCGCGATACGCAGGATGTACGCGTCGGGGCGGGAGCCCTTCCCTGAATCTGACAACCTAACCTGTCGAGTGGGGGATTATCCGTTCGCTTCGGCACAGCTCAGCCCTGGCTCGGGCCCCGCGACCATCAAGAAACGACCTGCGAGGATCAAATTCCAAGGATGGTGTCGGAGGCTCCGTGGGTCCGCGCCGTGAACAGCCAAACTAACTCTACAACGTTTTTTCTACGACAAGCCGTCGATGCTGCAACACTCGCATGATGAATCCATTCCCTCGGCAGCGTCAGCACGGCGAAAACACGTGTGCCACTGAGAGTTGCCAGACGCGGTAGCATCGACTTGTGCGCACGCGCTCCGTAATACGTGCCTGCATGGTGTTGATTAGGCTTCAGGTCCGACTGGATGCCTCTCTACGTGGACAAGCAAGCGAACCATACCACCTGTGGGCGGTGCCCCGGGTGTGGTCATCTCTGCATCCTTGTATAAGGCAAGGTTCACATGACAAGCAGCTGCTTCATCGTCTCCGAACTCCTCGAGACCACGGACCAAGCTGCCAATTTCCACCAGGGCTGATCCAAACTTTACCTCACGCCCCCTGCCCCGCGCAAGCAAAGCAACGTCAGGACTGTCGAATACCTCCACGAACAGGCACGCGTGATGCGCTGCGCCAAGATCATCCATTGGCAAAGCGATATGGGCTTCTGTGCCCTTGGGAAAGTGGCAGTCTGTACCACCCCCAATCATTGGTTTGGTTTGAGCCCGAAAAACGCTATCGGATGGAGTGATACCCTCCATCACAAGCTGAACAGTTACATAAGGACTCTCCCTTGCAAAATCATGTTCGCCGTGGGCCCGTAGGTGTGCTAAGTTGGCCACGCGCAAGGGTATCACCCGGACGGTAGCGCCATCCACCTCAGAGACATGTTTCTCGTGCTCGTGAGCCTGAACTTTCTTGAAAACGGCTTTTCCGACCCCGAAGACAAAACCAGGCGGGTGTCCGTAGCAAGCTGCCTTCATGAGAGTATGCTTCGCGACATTCGTTGCGACATGCACTCCTTTCGCTGTTCTATTCGTCTTGCCAGTCTGATCATCCGCCTCTTCTTCACAGTCATGTTCTGGGTCCAAGTGCACCAAAATGTCGTCCCCACGGCAATACCCCTTTGAAAGTAAGACATCAGACGCAACGCTCATGTTAGGAATTGCTGCGGCTGCAAGCGGCGGGAATTTGAAGCGAATGCTGATGCTCAGCTGCTACTTGAACGACCATCGCTTGAGCCAGTACGACGAACGAACATGGACTTTGATGCTGATGTCGCTGAAGATGCGATGATGATGATGATGATTATGATGATATTGATGATGATGATGCTGATGATGATGATGATGATGATGATATTGATGATGATGATGATGCTGATGCTGATGATGATGATGATGATGATGATGATGATGATGATGATGATGATGATGATGATGTTGGACGCGCATTGGTTACGTGTCGTCTTCTCCCTGAATCGCCTGCTGCCGCAGTGTGCCGCAGCCCCACCCCTGGACCCCCCGCGGACAGAGGCAGGTCTACGCGTGCAGCCCACCATGCCACCCCGGCTTCCCCCCAAGAGCAACATCTCCCAGGGGAGCCAACCGAGGCCTCGGCGATGCCCTCTCTCCCCCTCCCCTTCCGGTGGGGGGATGCTGTCTCCAACCGGCCCATCTGGAAAGATCCCGCTGGACCGCCACTCCCACTCCCTGACGAGGCGGAAGAAGACGCCGTCCATCCCAGAAAAACTGCACCCTCGTGGGACTTTTGCAGGTCATGTCGAGACATCGACCTGGGGACCTCCTCCCCGGCGGTAGTGTTTCATCCCGGGTCCGTTTCTGACTGCCCCCGTGGCCGCCGTGGCCCGAAAGCGGCCTCCAGATCCCAATTATCCCGGCAAAGCAACCTAACAGCGATGTGCAGGAGCATATCTGGAAGCATTCCCCTTCAGATTCAGATGAGAATCCAGTTGTAGAATTCTGCTGTTCTCGCAGTCGTAGTCGCATTCGCGATGACAGTCGCAACGGCAGTCGCAGTCACAGCCTCAGCCTCAGCATGCCTCAGCCTCAGCCTCAGCATGCCTCAGCCTCAGCCTGCCTCAGCATCAGCCTCAGCCTGCTTCAGCCTCAGTCTGCCTTCAGCCTCCGCCTCAGCCTCAGCCTGCCTCAGCCTCACCCTGCATCAGCCTCAGCCTCAGCCTCAGCCTGCCTCAGCCTCAGCCTGCCTCAGCCTCAGCCTCAGCCTGCTTCAGCCTCAGCCTCAGTCTGCCTTCAGCCTCGGCCTCAGCCTCAGCCTGCCTCAGCCTCAGCCTGCATCAGCCTCAGCCTCAGCCTCAGCCTGCCTCAGCATCAGCCTGCCTCAGCCTCAGCCTCAGCCTGCCTCAGCCTCAGCCTCAGCCTGCTTCAGCCTCAGCCTCAGTCTGCCTTCAGCCTCGGCCTCAGCCTCAGCCTGCCTCAGCCTCAGCCTGCATCAGCCTCAGCCTCAGCCTCAGCCTGCCTCAGCATCAGCCTGCCTCAGCCTCAGCCTCAGCCTGCCTCAGCCTCAGCCTCAGCCTGCTTCAGCCTCAGCCTCAGTCTGCCTTCAGCCTCGGCCTCAGCCTCAGCCTGCCTCAGCCTCAGCCTGCATCAGCCTCAGCCTCAGCCTCAGCCTGCCTCAGCATCAGCCTGCCTCAGCCTCAGCCTCAGCCTGCCTCAGCCTCAGCCTCAGCCTGCTTCAGCCTCAGCCTCAGTCTGCCTTCAGCCTCGGCCTCAGCCTCCTCAGCCTCAGCCTCAGCCTCAGCCTCAGCCTGCAGCCTCAGCCTGCCTCAGCCTCAGCCTCAGCCTGCCTCAGCCTCAGCCTCAGCCTGCTTCAGCCTCAGCCTCAGTCTTCCTTCAGCCTTGGCCTCAGCCTCAGGCTGCCTCAGCCTCAGCCTGCCTCAGCCTCAGCCTCAGCCTGCCTCAGCATCAGCCTGCCTCAGCCTCCGCCTCAGCCTGCCTCTGTCTCAGCCTCAGCCTGCAGCCTCAGCCTCAATCTGCCTTCAGCCTGCAGTCTCAGCCTGCTTCAGCCTCAGCCTGCATCAGCCTCAGCCTCAGCCTCAGCCTGCCTCAGCCTCAGCCTGCCTCAGCCTCAGCCTCAGCCTCAGCCTCAGCCTCAGCCTCAGCGTGCTTCAGCCTCAGCCTCAGTCTGCCTTCAGCCTCGGCCTCAGCCTCAGCCTGCCTCAGCCTCAGCCTGCATCAGCCTCAACCTCAGCCTGCATCAGCATTCAAAATGTGGCCCGGGAAGGGAATTCTGGGAACTCGAAGAACACGAAATAGCCTACAGTTGGCTCCGGGCATTCAAAATCATGCCCAGGAATGGAGTTCTGGGAACTCGAAGAACACGAAGTGGCCTACGGTTGGCTCCGGGCATTCAACATCATGCCCAGGAATGGAGTTCTGGGAACTCGAAGACCACGAAGTGGCCTACAGTTGGCTCCGGGCATTCAAAATCATGCCCAGGAGTGGAGTTCTGGGAACTCGACGACCACGAAGTGCGTTACTGTTGGCTAAAAAAAGGATCCCCGGTTTTCCCGGGCACCTGTCCGGATCCCGCCCAGACCCCCCTCGGGAGTCATGATGCTCTCTTTCGGCCCTACTAGAAACCTATCAGTCTTCGCTGTTAGGTAAAAACCTAACAGAGAGAAGGTGACGAAAACACTTTTTCTGATTCGCGGGTCGAGAGCGCACCTCTTCCGGTCGAAGCTGAGCGGGCCGCGCGAAGCTTGCATCAGCAAAGAGGGGGGGAGGAGGGGAGGAGCGCAGCCTCAGGGCGAGGCCGGGAGGAGGCAACGCCTCGGGACCAGGCGGCGCCGAACTCGACGTGCCTGCCAAGGTGCGCGAGGGTGACGCAGGCACGCCAGGCGGCCACCTGCCTTCCCCGGGAGCAGCGCAGGGCCTGGGCCCCGAGCGAGAGGAGAGCTCTAAAGGGAAATTAGGACACACAAATAAATACACACAAATAAAAATAGTCCCCATATTTTCTCATATTTTCTGGGTTTTTGTCTTCCCCCCCAATTCCCATATTTTCCTATATTTTCCTGGGAATCGAGGATTAATTGTGTCTGTGTGTTTTTTTCCCTCCTGAAGCTCTCTGTGAGCCGAGCGCAGCCGCGGCCCGAGCGCACGCTGCCTCTCGCGGGAGGCCCGGGGACCCTCGCGCCGTGCCTCGGGGAGGGCACGGCTCTCCCCCGCCGCCGCGGGGAAACAAAAGGGCGGCGAGAGCGAGGGCGCCAGGAGCCACCGCGCGTGCCTGCCGCACGGCCCTCCCTCGGCGACGCGCCAGAGCGCCCCTGAGGAAGAGTGGCCGTTGGTGCGCGGCTGCTCGATGGCCGCGGGGGGCCGAACGCATGCGCGCAAGACGCCGCCGCCGCATCGCGATCGGGGGCCCCAGTGGCCCGCACCGAAGGTCACTCCGGCGACAACTACGACGGCCGACGACCACGACCACGAGAAGCCTCTGGGCTGTTGCGGACGGCAATGTCGAAGGAGGAGAAGGGAGTGTGAGGAGGGAGGAGCAGGGTGGGAAGGGAGAGGAAGACGGGGGAGAAGGGAAGAGGAGAAGAAGGAGCAAGATGGAGGAGGAACACCAGCAGCAGAAGGGAGAAGAGAGGACAGCGAGGAAGAAATAAGGAAGGAGAAGGGGAATGAGGAGGGAGGAGGAGGAGGAGGAGGAGGAGGACGACGACGACAACAACCAACAACCCGACGCCCAGAGACGACGACGACGACGACGACGACACGACGACGACGACGACGACGACGACGACGACGACGACGACCACGACGACGACCACGGCCACGACCACGACCACGACCGTGAGGATGGGGAAACCAACAGGTACTGATACAGCTGCTCCCCGACCCTTTCCGGGGGCGCGTTCAGACCAGAATTCCAAGGCGAATCCAGCGGTTGCGACGAAGCGGTACGGGTGCCCTTGCCCTAGAGGCCTCTCAGATGGGATCGGAGTAGATGAGGTCGGAGGATCGCTCCGCATCGCTATGCCTCGGCGATGCATCGCCGATGTCAGCGACGCATCGGCGACGTCGTTGTGGAGAACATCTGGCTCCACAGTCGAGCTGCATCGTCGATGCATCGGCGATGCGGCACGATGCATCGGCGATGCGGCCCGATCCTCCGACCCCATCTGCCCCGACCCCATCTTCGGGAGCGGCCAAGAGGGGGGTGTCCAAGAGGGGGGGGGTGCAAATCATGACCGGCGGCACGTGCGCGGCCCAGAGGGAAGGGCCAGGGACGTCCTGAGATAAGAAGAGGCGCCAGGATATCTGGGGAGATATCATGGCCCACGCCATGATATCCACCCCCCCCTAGTCATCACCCCCCTCTTTTCCCCCCCCGACGTCTGGGAGGCCTCGACCCTGCCCCCCGCCGAGGCGGGGCCCCCCGTGCCCTCTGGGAAGTGTTCGGCGTCTTCGGGGCGAGGAGGAGGAGGGGGAGGAGGGCGGAGGAGGGCGGAGGAGGAGGAGGAGGAGGAGGAGGAGGAGGAGGAGGAGGAGGAGGAGGAGGCCTCGACCCTGCCCCCCGCCGAGGAGGGGCCTCTGGGATGTTGTGGAAGGCCACGGCGATGCAGACGGCGGCACCGAGCCTTACGCCGGAGAGCGCGGACACGGCCACGGCGAGGCCCTGCGCGCGGCGCGCGGGCGCCATGCCCCAGCCGTTCGAGGCGCGAGGAGGAGGAGGAGGAGGAGGAGGACGAGGAGGAGGAGGAGGAGGAGGAGGAGGAGGAGGAGCAGGAGCAGGAGCAGTAGGAGGAGGAGGAGGAGGAGGAGGAAGAGGAGGAGGGAGCGCTCGAAGGCCGAGGCGCGGGCATCGAAGGTCGAGGTCTTCGAATTGGGGCCCAGGGAGACAGACTCGAGCATACAAATCCAAGGGCCCCCCTTATATGCTTCTTCAAAAGTTTATGGATGTTCTGACCCCCCTCGGCCGCCAACGTTTTACAGCATTCCCCGAACAGTGCTTGCACTTGGGGGTTCTTATTTCTCTTCCAAGGAACTGGGCCTGCGCGTCGGTCTGGCGGTTATGTAGCCGCTGTCGCCGCACCGTCGCCGCCTCGTCGCCGGCCATTGTCTGGCCCTGTGCGCCGCTCTGGCGGCTATGTTGGCTTGGCCGCCACCCCGTCGCAGCCGTCGCCGCTCGTCACCACCGTTCGATTCTCCTTTCTAAAACAATAATAGATTCTCCCCCCCCCCCCCGGACTTATCGGGTCCCCCGCGCGTGCTGTAAATCACATATGATTCTGACCACATGTCCATCCTAAATATGAATTCATACCATCCCAGCCAAGCCGGTATCCCCCCCCTGCGGTTCCCCATCAAATAACACTATGCGGGGACATTTTTCTTTCTAGCATAACACTTTTTCAAGAATCCCTTGCAAAAAACGGGACGAAGAGCACACGCGCGCGTCGTCGCGCGCGCATGCCGAAATCCTTCAAAAACCTTCGGTGCCGGAACGATTTCGCAATCGAGCTTCCGAAAAACATACAAAAACACATGGCTTCGCAACACTGATTTGCTAAAAAAACTTCCGCGCGAGCTCTTGGGAAATCTTAAGAAAACCATAGGTTTTTCAATATTTTCACAACATGTTACCAAACGGGCTTCGCGCGCGCATGTCGAAATCTGTCGAACGCCCTTGCGCGTGTGCCGTCGCGAGAATCCTCTGCAAAAAATGGAACGAAGTACAGACGCGCGCGTCGTCGCGCACGTATGCCGGAAACCTTCACAACCCATCGGTTTCGGAAGGATTTCAAAATCGTGTGTCCAAAAAACATACAAGAACCCAAGGTTTCGCAACACGGATTTTCAACAAAAGCGTGCGCGCGCGCTCTTGCGTCGTCGTCGTCGTCGCCGTCCTCCCTCCTCCCGCGTCGTCGTCGTCGCCTACGTCGTCCTCTGTCTTTTCTCCTGTTTGTCGTCGTCGTCCTCTTTGGCGTCGTGGTCGTTTCCATCGTCGTTGTCGCCGTGGTCGTCCTTCCTCCTCCTCCCACGTCGTCGTCGTCGTCCGTCGTCGGCGTCTCATCGTCGTCCCTCCTATGTCGTCGCCGTCGTCGTCGTCGTTGTCGTCGTCGTCTTCCCTCCTCCCTCGTCGTTGTCGTCGTCGGCGTCGCCGTCCTTCCTCTTTCGTCGTCGTTCGCGTCGTCACCGTCCTCCCTCCTCTATCGTCGTTGTCGTCGTTGCCGCCGTCGTCGCCCTTCCTCCTTCCTCGTCGTCGCCTTCGTTGGCGTCGTCGTCGTCGTCTTCGTCGTCGTCGGCGTCGGCGTCGCTGTCGTCGTCGAAGTCGTCGGAGACGTCGTCGGTGTCGTCCTAGTCGTTGTCGTCGGTGTCGTCGTAGTCGGTCTTAACAGGTTTTGCAAACCAAGTTGCGGGTGGGTGGGTGGGATGTTTGCGCGAGCAGTGGAGATGACGACTTCAAGTTCCGCAGAGTGGATTGCACCAAATAGAGTGCACCGCATCGAGACTCGACCCCCCCCCACACCCCGGACTTAACGCTTCCCCCTGGGATAATACAATTTCATATATACATATACATATATATATATACATATATATGTATATATATACATATATATATTCTGCACACTCGTCCATCCTAAATATATAAAATCATATCATCCCAGCCAAACCGGTATCCCCCCCCTGAGGTTCCTTTTTTTTAAAAAAAAAAACATATGCGGTGACATGGTTTGTTCTAACGTAACACTTTTTTCACGAATCCCTTGCAAAACATTGGACAAGGTGCACACGCGCGCGTCGTCGCGCGCGCATGCCGAAATCCTTCAAAAAACTTCGGTGCGGGACGGATGTCGCAATCGAGTTCCCAAACAACATACAAAAACACAGGGTTTCGCAACACATAGGTGCTAAAAAAGCTTCCGCGAAAGCTTGCGAAATCTTAAGAAAACCAGAGGTTTTTCAAGATTTTCACAAAGTGCTACCAAAAGGGCATGTCGAAATCTGTCGAACGCCCTTGCGCGTGTGCCGTCGCGAGAATCCCTTGCAACAAATAGAACGAAGTACAGACGCGCGCGTCGTCGCGGGCGTATGCCGAAAACCTTCAAAACCCATCGGTTTCGGAAGGATTTCAAAATCGTGTGTCCAAAAAACATACAAGAACCCAAGGTTTCGCAACACGGATTTTCAACAAAAGCGTGCGCGCGCGCTCTTGCGTTGTCGTCGTCGTCGTCGTCGCCGTCCTCCCTCCTCCCGCGTCGTTGTCGTCGTCGTCGCCTACGTCGTCCTCTGACTTTCCACGTGTTCGTCGTCGTCGTCCTCTTTGGCGTCGTGGTCGTTTCCGTCGTCGTTGTCGCCGTGGTCGTCCTTCCTCCTCCTCCCTCGTCGTCGTCGTCGTCCGTCGTCGGCGTCTCGTCGTCGTCCCTCCTATTTCGTCGCCGTCGTCGTCGTCGTCGTCTTCCCTCCTCTCTCGTCGTTGTCGTCGTCGGCGTCGCCGTCCTCCCTCCTTCTTCGTCGTTCGCGTCGTCGCCGTCCTCCCTCCTCCCTCGGCGTTGTCGTTGTCGCCGTCGTCGTCCTCCCTCCTCACTCGTCGTCGTCGTCGTCGTCGTCGTCGTCTTCGTTGGTGACGTCGTCGTCTTAGTCGTCGTCGTCGGCGTCGTCGTCGTCGTCGTCACCGTCGGCGTCGGCGTCGTCCGCGTCGTCGTCGTCGTCCTCGTCGTCGGCGTCGACGTCGCCGTCGTCGTCGGCGTCGTCATCGTCGTCGTCGTCGGCGTCGGCGTCGTCGTCGTCGTCGGCGTCGTCATTGTCGTCGTCGGTGTCGCCGTCGTCGTCGTCGTCATCGTCGTCGGCGTCGTCGTCGCCGTCGTCGTCGGCGTCATCGTCGTCGGCGTCGTCGTCGCCGTCGTCGTCGTCGGGGTCGTCATCGTCGTCGTCGTCGTCGGCGTCGTCGTCGTCGGCGTCGTCATTGTCGTCGTCGGTATCGCCGCCGTCGTCGTCGTCGTCGTCGTCATCGTCGTCGTCGTCGTCGTCGAAGTCGTCGGAGCCGTCGTCGGTGTCGTCGTAGTCGTCGGCGACGTTTTCGTCGTCGTTGTTGTCACTGTCGTCGTCGGCGTCGCTGTCGTCGCCAAGAGCCATTTGGTATCCCCCGTCGTGGTCTGAAGATGTCTTGCGACCAAGTTGCAGGTGGGAGGGTGGGATGTTTGCACGAGCAGTGGAGAGGACAGCTTCAACACGGTCAAAATTAATTCTCCTTTCTAAAAGACTAATAGATTCTACCCCCCCCCCCCGGACTTATCGGCCCCCCCGCGCGTGCTGTAAATCACATATGATTCTGACCACATGTCCATCCTAAATATGAATTCGTACCATCCCAGCCAAGCCGGTATCCCCCCCCCTGCGGTTCCCTGGTAAAAAAACACTATGCGGTGACATGTTTTGTTCTAACATCGCACTTTTTCGCGAATCCCTTGCAACAAATGGGACGAAGTGCACACGCGCGCGTCGTGGCGCGCGCATGCCGAAATCCTTCAAAAACCTTCGGTTCTGGAGAGATTTCAAAATTGAATTTCCAAAAATCATATAAAAACACATGGTTTCGCAACACTGATTTGCTAAAAAAAATCCGCGCGAGCTCTTGCGAAATCTTAAGAAAACCATAGGTTTTCCAAGATTTTCACAAAATGCTACCAAACGGGCTTCGCGCGCGCGCATGTCGAAATCTGTCGAACGCCCTTGCGCGTGTGCCGTCGCGAGAATCCTCTGCAAAAAAATCAAACGAAGTGCAGACGCGCGCGTCGTCGCGGGCGTATGCCGAAATCCTTCAAAAACCTTCGGTGTCGGAAGGATTTCGAAATCGTGCGTCCAAAAAACTTACAAAAACAAAAGGTTTCGCAACACGGGTTTTCAACAAAATTGTGCGCGCGCGCTCTTGCGTCGTCGTCGTCGTCGTCCTCCCTCCTCCCTCGTCGTCGTCGTCGTCGTCGTCGCCGTCGTCGTCTTCTGTCTTTCCTCGTCGTCGTTGTCGTCGTCTTGGCGTCGTCGTCGTTTCCGTCGTCGTTGTCGCCGTGGTCGTCCTTCCTCCCTCGTTGTCTTCGTCGGCGTCTCGTCGTTGTCCCCCCTATTTCGTCGCCGTCGTCGTCGTCGTCGTCGTCGTGGTTTTCACTCCTCCCTCGTCGTTATCCTCGTCCCTCGTCGTCGTCGTCCGTCGTCGGCGTCTCGTCGTCGTCCCTCCTATTTCGTCGCCGTCGTCGTCGTCTTCGTCGTCGTTGTCATCGTCGTCGTCTTCCCTCCTCCCTCGTCGTTGTCGTCGTCGGCGTCGCCGTCCTTCCTCCTTCTTCGTCGTTGGCGTCGTCGCCGTCTTCCCTCCTCCATCGTCGTTGTCGTCGTTGTCGCCGTCGTCGTTTTTTCTCCTCCCTCGTCGTCGTCTCCGTTGGCGACGTCGTCGTCGTCTTCGTCGTCGTCGTCGGCGTCGTTGTCGTCGTCGTCGGTGTCGTCGTCGTCGTTGTCGTCGTCGAAAACATTGGAGACGTCGTCGGTGTCGTCGCAGTCGCTGTCGGCGGCGCCGTCGTCGTCGATGTCGCTGTCGTCGTCGGCATCGGTGTCGTGGCCAAGTGCCATGCAGTACCTACCGTCACGGTCTTGTCTGAAGATGTCTTGCGACCAAGTTGCGGG